TAATTAAGTTTGGAGAAGTGTTTACGCGCTTTTTGCGTCTGTTGCGAAAGTTGCAATATCTGTTAACCCTGCGACAATACACTGGATCATAGTGACTCGAACATTTGTTCCTTTATCACAGTTTAAATATAATGAAATTTTTTGAAGAATCATTGAAATAATTTTCGTTATAAATTTTTTAATTAAATATAATGTTACTTGGACCATAAATGCTTGATTTTATACTCCGCTCAATAGCTTTTAATTTATTGGTTAAATATGGCTTTTCAAGCCACGGTACTTGGCGGTAGCAGCCGACCTACTGTAATACTCTCTTCTACCTTCTGTAAATGAAATAATCATTTTTGCTAACAATCAAGGGTTAAATATATCTTATAACAAAAAACGACAATATTCTTGGAGCTATTTTGCTAGAACATCATACCAAGAACTGTTTCTTCTTGGGAGCTGTAACTTGTATTTTTGGCGCTGTACCACCTACCCTTTGCGAATGAATTTCAAAACAGATTAAGCGCTTAAAATCCCATTTACTATACATATAAGGCGGCCCACAATATTCAAGGCCGAAAATATTCTATTTCAAACATTCACTTATGATATCTCGGTCTAATTAATCTATAATTAGCTTTTAGTTCGGTCATAAGTCCGAAGGAAAAATATGAAGGCAGTTGGACAACAATCTCTCATAGTTATGAGAAATCACCGCAAGAAAAAGTAATCAAAAAGAGGGTAGCTTTTATGCAGCAATTTAGGTCTCGTGAATTTTCTGAGAGCTGTGGTTGGCCGACTAGATCAGCCTACCTTTTGAAGCCTACATATAAACTCTTATTACTAGAAATAAGAGGCATATTGATAACAATCTAGCCGATTTTTATTTCCCGTGAATTGTGATATAGGCTAATGTTCCGGTTAGTTCAACAGAAGTAGTCGCTTAATTCGCTACAAACTAGCGAACAGGATTGTTGATCCATGTAACTAGTAGTGTGTGGCATTATGCTGATCTCTTTTGTTCTTGCCACCAACACGAAATCAGCTTCTGAAATATTTGCATCATTTTTAAGCTGAAGAGAAAAGCTGAAAAAAGTAAAATAAATATAAAGGAAACAATAAAACTTCCAACAAATAAGAGGAGCACCTCGTCACTCGCTACTCGTTGCTAAGTCAGCATCCACTTATAGGCAAAATAAATGCAAGGACTTTCATAAAGCAAATATGAACACCACGTGGCCTACAATGAGCAGAGCAGCAAGGAAACAAGGGCGTAAAGCAGCCAGCAAGCGACACACAGCACTCACACCAACACAAACTGCCGTTTTTAGTTCGAGACACATAATCACACGGACTAACTCCACGCAGACGGCTAATCCTCCGAAATTTGAATAAACTGTCAAGCGAGCAAAAGGACCTGTGAACCAGCCGCCACCAACGCCACTGCCACTAATGCTGATGAATGTGCTTTTGTTGAAAATTATTAGCAATTTACATTGCTGGCGCACTTGCTGGTTAGCTAGCCTCATGACTGACTGTTGGCTGTCTCACTAAAGGCAGCATGATGGAAAACGTTTGCCAGTGGAATTCTGCGGGAGAAACCCACGGTCATCTCTATTGCCATGCTTTATTGCTTCAACTGCAGCATTTAGCAGGCTGTTATGCTCAATTCAACTGTACATTTCGTTGTGTTTTTGTTGTTTGTTGTTGGAGATAGACTAATATGCGTTAATATTTCACATTGTCTTATGACTCATTAGCGTCGTCATAACATTTATTTATTTTATTTGGTATGATTTAGTTTGGCAAATGCTTTGGAAAAGACAATAGTCGAATTGCAAGCTTATATAAATGATTTCAGATAAAATTTAAGGTTATATTTTATTATTTTAGGTTAATATGGCTGGCTGTCTACAAGCAATGTATAGACTTTTGATGGTTAGAAATTGAAGTTGATGCGCAATGTTTGGAGAGTAAAATTATTTTGTAATTTCTTGTGTGAATATTTACATTCCATTTGGAAAAAACATTTGTAAAGTATAGGATTATATACGATCAGTTATTAGGGACTATTTATGCACAAACCTCTAATCTATAAAATTATTTTGAAACCAGATAAATTCAAACACGAGAAATACTGGAGAAGATCTTAAAGTTGAAGTTAGCTGTTCGAACCACTTATGGCTCAATTTATATGAAAGGCTCTCGGAGCCTTAAACAAATGCTGCTGAATGAATTTGTAACACAGTTATATGAGGTTTTTAGGTCAGCAAATCATAGCTTTCAATTTGTATCAGGGTTCTAAAATGGTTTTTCCTCTCTATTATAAATAAGTGATTCACTTCATTAGTATGATGCTGGGCGTTTATTTGTTGGATTATTCTGTCAGCAGAACAGACATATAAGTTTAGTTTAGGTTAGGTTACGAAGCTGAGATCCATGATGAAGATTGTAATAGATTTGCTCCTACAACTACTTGAAATACCGATCCTTTGTAACGCCAAGAACCCTTAAAGAAAGACGAACCAAAAATATATTTGGTAAGCCACTCATCAGCTTCATCGAAATTTTGAATATCGAGATTTTTTAAACTGTCTCAAGCACATGTGTACTCGCGATGGATTTCAACTATTTGATAAGATCAGTTGGCTTTCTCGTAGTATGGGTAATATTTTCAAATTTATCAAGCCTGGAAACTCTTTAAAAATACAGTAGTTCATTATCCTAGTGTTGCGTACTTTATAAACAGATAAATTTATCTTTTGTCTGAAAGCTTCATTCGCTGTAAATGTAGAGCTTGCGTACGCTTCTTAAAATAACGGTGAAATATAACAATTTTCCCGGACAACTTTGCACGAAAATTGCTTCATCATCGTCATCATTGTCGTCGCCGCCACTTAACTCTTCATTAATTACAACTCAATTTGTCGAGGTATTCAAAAAATTCAGCACCTAACCGCTGTTTCGGTTTGCGCCGTTTACTTTTTTCAACTTATACGCGCTTACGAACGCTTTTTGTTGTGTTTTACTTTTTCAGAATTGTTCTCATACTTATTTTCTGTAGCATCTTTTGCTGCAGACATTGCTGAGCTTGCGAAAAAATTTATACCACACACTCGCTTGTCTAGAGGACAATTTGGAATACAGATATAAATTAATATACGTTTTTGTACCCGGCAGAGTAAGTTCTATTAGACTGCATACCTTTGACATAGTTCGGAACTAGTACGAAGTAGCCAAAAAATCACCAGTCTACGATTAGATGCGCAGGTGTAGTTACAGTTTCGTACGTCAACCAGTAGTGAAGTAGAAAGGGTACGCTTTACCCTACCGCATTGTACATTGTGGTTATATAAGTTCAACTAGAAAGTTCACTGCAAGTCCGGGAAACTGTCTTCAATTCATTACAATAGCTTTGTCTTAGTATCTTAGTATCACCGTCTTCTTAAGGCATGCATAGATTGGGTACAATAACTGATAAGTTTATGATTTAAGACTTGTTTATTGTCAGAACGAATCGGTCCGTTAGTATTAGTTATAAAGTGAGAGCTTTTTGATTTTGGCAGACCCAAGCTCAGACTTTTGAAGCCTACATTAAATTGGAAATCAAAAATTTTCTGAAGTTTCGTTAGCACCTAGTAACGACAGCCATAAATTATTTATTTTTCGAGTTGAACCAAATAATGGAGCATTTAAAGGTTTCTCGTATTTCCGCTCGAAACTACAGACACATATGTGTTCACGCAATCGTCTGGCCTGTCGATAAAAGTGGTCTAATAAAAATACAAAATTTTCGTCGGCATTTTTAATTTGAGAAATATGCAACGTGCGGTTTTTGAGTTGAAGCTGCTGGCATGCTGACATCCACATCATTTTCATAGGCACCTTATCAAGCACCATTGAAGCTACGGCCGTCCTTTTATTTAAAAGTTTTTTGCTTATTTTTATTGTTGTCTGCAACTACAGGTGCAATTATGCTGAAAATTATTTTGTCTTGTTCATTGTCTATCCTTTCGTAACCTTTGGTCCACCATAGTTTTTTCACTCTTATTTGCCAGCTTTCTGCTATCATCAGCCGCCATTCCCTACCAACATTTTTAACATGCTGATGTCTCGATGAGCTTGAATCGGCATATACATATAATATATGATATGTGCATGTACAAGTGAATATGTGTCCACAATGTTCGTAATTTTATTGTTGTTTCAGTGTAACTTAATTGAATCTCACATAGAATTTCTTGCAGTCTTCGTTAATAGACTTGTGTTTATTAAAAAACATGTGATTGTTCGTGTAAGTTGAAATTTTGTCTAGTAAACACATACATCTATACTACTTTGTGGTTTTATGGAATGTAGCATAATTTTTGGCGAAGATCTAAAAATAAATAAACTTTGCAATATCTCTAGATAATAATAATAGTGTATATAAATATAACCTAAAAGGCAAACAGCTTCTTTTTATATAACAATATCTACGCAAATACCTCTAAGTATACATATGCTTACATTATTTACATCATAAATCCCACAGTTGGTGCGCCTAGTGCTATGCTAAGAAAACCGCAGGAATGTTCCATAACGCACCTTAGGAAGTCGTAAAACAGCAGCGTAACTTATTTTCACATGAAAAACGAACAGTAAACACACTCACGCACTCATGTATTTAGATAGTCACATATATAAATATTATGTGGTTATCATATTTGATAACCAACACAAATCATAGTGCTCAAGCTTACAACAACCTCATCATTCATCACCGTGCACTGCATGATGCTATAACGGAAGTTTGTTACGCAGCCTTCACATCGTCAACGCATCTCCATAGATTACCCTACATACACACATACATACATAAGTCCGTCCTCACTTATCAAATCTCTTGTTTTTCTTGCATTGGATTCACCGCCTGTGGTGAATATGTTGTTGTTTTGCAATTGCCGTTTCGTTTTTTGGTTATTATTGCAACAAAATGACAATTTTCCTTTATACCAATATTCACATTCCCATTTCTCATTTCCGTTACGTTCGGTTCATTATTCGCATTATGATTTTTATTAGATAGAATTGCAAAAAATTCTCAGAAGCACATAAATCACTTGAAATGTGTTGCTAATGTGATTGTTGTGAGTACTCCTCCTCCGCAGTTGGTACCCCCACGGTGTGGGCATGGCCCCACTGCCTCACCGCAGTTAATTTGGAAAACAGTTTAGGTAAGCGTGGGCGGTCGACTGTTCGACGCCAGCTATTAGGCACATATCCATAATGGCTATATTTGTGGAAATTGTTTATAGATGATAATCAGCATAGAGATCATTCCACTCTGAAATCAGAACACAGATTTAGTTGGCATTAAATATTGCTCCTTGTATTTTTCAGAACGATGTTCCGAAATATTTTGCTCAAAAAAAGTTATCGGTTATATTTCTTTTGAATTTTCCAATCAGTGCCTAAGAAATGTTTTATATATATGTATCTAAAGCGATATGGAATTACTGTTTACAAATATTATCAAAAAGTTTATTTAATGTCATAAAAAAGTTAGCAGAAAGCTCAAAGGACTAAATTAGCAAAGAGCTTAGTAAAGCTGTAAGTGCAATATAATTAATGAGGATCGTAGTTTTTTCTCAGTACTCACGATTCCAAAGCGAAAATGGATATAAAAATAATCAGTGCTGACAATTAGACTGAAAACTGGCGAAAAGTTTACAAATTTTTATAGAAGCTCTATAAAAAAACGTTGGTCAATTCACTTTTAAGCTCAGCATGAACTAGCTTAAATATTATGAAAGCTTCTAGATTTCCGGTAATCCTCTAATTTTCTAATTAAGAAATGAAGCTTAGCTAAAGCTCCACAAAGTTATAGGCTCAATATTAATTATTTAAGATCTCCCTACTCTTGTATGTATTGACTATTGTAAATTAGACTCAAAATTCCTTGAAATCTTTACGAAACTTTATAAAAGCTCTATAGAAAAGCTTTCATGCAACCCACTTTTAGCTTAAAGCTTCAACAGGCCTTAATATTATACAAGTTTTAAGACTTTGCGCAATCCTTAAATTTTTCTATAATCTCTCGGATAGTACGAGTAGATAATGAATATAGTGGAAGCGAAAATGAGGTTTCCAATAATTTCGTCAGCTGTGTATATAATGAAGTTAATAGAAAAGGTGAATGTTTTTTGCAACAACAACTTGAATCAGTTTATGATAATCGCCAAAAGACCTAATTGTGAGACTGACGTATCAAGTGGAGTGGGCTGTAATAGGGTTTTCGCCTTTTTTTCATGAGAAGGTTGATATGTGTCACAAAATTAGCAAACGTAGCTCCAATCAATCTAAAGACATCTGATAAATGTATTACATGTATACTACACTACATATTACCTAATAGCTTTGTCCCTTTTTTGCTTACATATATAAGACATATGTGCATAGGTATTGTAATACACCCGTATTGCTTATCCCTTGAAACTTCTCCGTATTGAAGTTGGCTGATATCAAAATGCTTAAAGCACGCTTTGCCTTTTGTGACAATAACGAAAAATTTTCAAAATATATATATATATACATAGCTAAGTGTCTATAAATAGTATTATTTTATACCTATATAAGAGTTCCATACATTCTCCATACACATATTCACATGCCCGCATTTTGTGTCTGCGCCTTCATGCACTTAATAAGCATCAAGTTAATAGCCATATCCTCTTTTTCATGGTCAACGGTTAAGGCTGACATTTGATGTGAAATATCCTTGATGATCGTTGACGTGGGCCAGCTTGTAGGAAGGATTACTTGCTTTGCTTCGGCTTGTTGCACGGATTTTGTTGGACGGTTGATTGGTTGGTGAATTGCTTGTGTCAGCATACATATGCATATGTGTATATGTATGTACACTTATATATCAACATATTTGTTATCTTTTACTTTAAGCTGCAAAGTTGCATGATTTGTTATTACTAAATAATTGGATTTGCTCATATTGGCAATTTATATTATCTTTTACTTTCGGAGATTTCGTAGGTATATTTTGTAATTTTTTTTTCTATTTTTTGTCGAGTGGACTTAATAAGTTGGATTACTGTTTTTGTTTGGTATTAAGGTTTTTGTAAATAAATATAAATAGGCTTATTTTCTTGTTCTAGACGATATCCAATAATCCGAGAATTTCAGTATATTAAATAAGTGTGTCAAATATTTGAAGTTCATATACTTATGCAATGATTTTTCAATGTCGTGCCTTACCTCAAAAATTAAACAAAGTGAAAAGAATAAACAAGAAAACATTTTAATTTCAGTTGCACCAAAGCTATATACCCTTCACTGATATAAAATATTGCTTATAGGCATTTAATTTTAAAAGGTCAGTTTGTATGGCAGCTATATGCTATAGCCGTTCAATCACAACAATTTTTTCAAAAATTGTAGCTTTACTTGGGATATCAATCTGTGTTAAGTTTCGTGAAGATACATTTACAAATAAAAAATTTTGTCATACATGAACTTGATTCCGATCTTTCACTTTGTATGGCAGCTATATGTTATAGTGGTCCGAAAGCGAAGTTTCTAACAAATGTGCAGCTTTTTTAAGAGAAAATAATATGTGCAAAATTTCAGAGCGATATCTGTAAAACTGTGGGACTTGTTCGCGTATATACTTTATTGGAACTCTGACGTTTTCTTCTGTGTCTAACAAATTTCATGGCAAAATTGATATACTTTTAATACGGTATAATAATAAATGTTTTGCATAGGTCGATCCCTGGCACGGGCTCTCTCAAATACTAAAATATATATAATATGTATATGGATATCGAAAATACTAATTATAATTTTAATATCTATAATGCTCTTTATAAAAACCGAAGCTTAGTTGTTCTTCCATGGAAAGTCTTCAATTGGAAAGTATTTTAAAATCATTCTAATACTAACAAGTTATGATTGTATTAGTATTCACATTTCTTTAACTTCAACTTTGCTCGGACCTGAGGCATTCCATAACATTTGTAATCATAATTTGGTATATAATTCAATTTTCTACATGCATTCATGCAACGACCCATCAATTGCCGGCAGCAACAATTTGCTATATAGTGGATTAATTGCATTTATGAACGTGCACGTTTAACTATAATTGAGTTAGCAACATATATCCACACAAACGTCCCAAACTATAATCATAACTGAGCCCTGAATGCACAAATTGTTCCTTTGAACGTTCAATTAGACACGTGTGTGTATGTGTGTAGTTACACAATCCAAAACTATTTAGCTCTTTCCAGCTCTCAGTCAGCCTTACGGAGCATTGTGCTTTGCTTATTCATAAGAAATCTCCATGTAACGGTAAATTTAGCTAAAATTCAATTTTCTCATAAATACCCTGAGTACTTATTACTAGACACAAATATTTGTGAAAGCAAGTCTGTACGGATGTATAACTTGTGGTGGATAGAAGAAGACAATATTGCTCATATGCCAATAATTCTTAATAATTTGGTGTTGATACTAAAGAATATATGTGCTTTCCATATCAGTTGAATCCATTATAATAACAAAATAAGTCTTAATTTAAGGAAACTAAATTTAAAATTCCAAAGTCTGTCAGTTTTAAGTCGATACTCATAGAAGAAGAAATGACACAAAGAGTGTCAAATCAAGCTTATACCTTAATTGTTGTCGCTTATGCTCAATTTTTTTTCGATTGCAACAGTAGAAGTTGTTTAAGACATTCCGGCTTTACCATAGGAAGGCTATCTAAAAATAGTTTCTAAAGGTGCGATCTTAAAAACCCTTTGTTTACCCCTATCATGTTAGTGAGTCTCCTCATACTATCCAAAGTAAGTTTGTGGTGGTATTCCGGTATTTGAGGTGTTTCTCTATCATCCATTATTTTGAGCACTCTAGCTAGTAGCTGAGCGGCCTTACACAGCTTATGTGACTGGTTATGATCACAGATACTATTAAGGATACCAATATACAAGTAATATGCCATCCTACAAAATAAGTCCTTGATGTCTCAAAATCTTCAGCTACAGACGGTCATGTGAATTCACAAAATGCCTATAGTTTATTTTTAATGCTAGTTTATTATTTAGTCAGGGTTAAATAATACTGAAATTCAATAAAATAAGGAATATTTGTGCAGTTGTATACTTTTTTTCACTCGACATAAATTTTTCCGCGTCCAATTGATCTACTTACAACGTAGATATATTTTTCCATCTCCTATGAAAAAAATACCTTGAATAACCATAAATCCGTTAATTGCCTCAACTAACTTCCTTATAAGTATTCTTTATAAGATACAGTTATTTACAGTGCAATCAAAATACCCAAAAGCGACAGTATAAAATAACTTTCATGCATTTGAAAAAAACGTCTTAATCATTTTTGAAATTGAAACGTTCACATTGAAAAGTTTATTAAAATTTTCTATGTGTATGTAAACATATGTGTATGTTGTACGTGGAAATATGTACGTGTGGTTGTGGCCCCTGTACTTGCTTTTGCGTAAATGAATTGGCTGTGTTATCCTGATTGAATGACCAAAGAGAAGTTTTGATTTTTATCGCCTCAAGCTATCAAGCATTCATTCATTGTTTGTGTTGTTTTTGTCTTGAATATTGATGGTTTCGTGCTTTGAAGACATAGCGCAGTAAAAGCAGTTTGTATGCTTAGGTATATTATATTGTGGCTTTGTACTTACTGAGATTTTGGTTTCCCTTTTATCTTTCATTCATTCTTCTTTTGTTTGGTTTACACAGAGTCAGTTAATTTGATTAAAACAAGGTTTTTTTTTGGGAAAAAATTATTTATGATAAACTTTAAGAAGGTACTTTATGTAGATTGCTCAAAATGTCTCGAGAAATGTTAAATAGCGACTAAAAGTTCAAACGCAAGTTCAAGTAGGGTGCTATCAATAAGGGCATAAAAAAGGACTTCTGCACGTGATTGGCCCCAATTTTCGTTCTTGTACCTACTCTAAATCTACGAGAACTCCTACCTTTCTTATAGGTATGAATACTGCGTTAAAAATAAATCTTCATTTATGCGACACTGGTAAGAATTCCGTTAGATTATATTCTCGACAGCTCGACAATATCCAATAGAGAAGCATCAGTAGATATTATCAAATATTCGACTGATTATTATATTAACTGTACTATTTCGATCACAATAGCTTACAGGAGACGAATATCGTTCAAAAACACTTCGACTGCTTCTTAGCTGATGAATATTGGGTTTCGTGTATTTTTATTACTCCAGTAAGATAATGAAATCAGTACTAATATATATGATAGAAAATGTTATTTTAATAGTGACCAATCCTCGGCAGACAATGTCAAAACATCGCGTGTGTTTATGACACGAAAAAATTTACTCAAAATTCATTTAGCTTAAAATAAGTAGAACGCTATATTTGTGCCATAATATCAGGACGTATGCTACAAATGGTAACAAAGGCTAAAAAAAAGAAGTACTATACATATAAAAAGAGATAAATCATTCGCTTTAGCGATTCGATAGCTGACAAAAGTGTAATTTACAACAAACGCTCTGTAATGGGGTTAAGCAACTAAAATGTATTACCTTATGAGGAATAACACATTCCGAAAAGTTCTAATAACTGATGTGAACAAGCCAGATTTCTTATTATAATTTTTTCATGTTTGATCCATGAATATCATTATATTTTCTCGAAGTAAAAACTTCATAGGTCTATTTTTAGATCTTCTGATGTTAATATCTTCTCTGCGTCAGCTCTACACGACAGTTGCTTACATCAAGGTTATCATCATTTGATTCGCAAAAGTCGATTTTTTCGATTAAACAAAGCCTCGATTTTTAAAAAGAAATTTAAAGCGCCTTGTTGAATAAGTAGATTTCCACATGCTCTAAATCTTATATACTTGTATGTAGACCATCAATCTATTTTCAGCGACTTTTAGTGCAACTTGTTGTCTTTTAAAGTTTAAATAACACTTTAGGAGTAATTAATTAACTGCATTAATTTCCAAATAACAACAAAGTGCTTTAATGAGCTATTTATTAAAGGTATTGTTCTGCACTCGGTGGCATTTAGTCACAGTCTGATGTCTATCGACAGCGGTAGACGTCACGCCACACCATTGAATGTCAACTGATTTTTGTTGGATGGCAGCTGGCAAGTGGAATCAAAGTAAACAATTCAACGAATAGTGAATGACGGAAACAAACAATAGGAAATGGCAAAAATAATAACAAAAGCAACAAAGATAAAGACAGCTACACCAATAACAACAACCATTCGCAAATAAATTACTACGGAGGAAATGGCGTTTATTGTGAAATAACAATGAAATTGTTAAATACAGCAACGAACCGATAACTGAGCACAAACAACACGACGTCAACGAAATTTGATAATCCGAAATAAACTTTCCACCTCTGTCAGTTATTCAGTCAGTCAGTCACGCAATCAGCTGGGATGTTGTTCAAATTGTAGCCGGAGGCGTTGCTGGTGCAATGGTGACAATGAGAATAAGGAGATCGGAGCGAGTGACAGCGTTGCAAATGCCTGAGCAGCCAAAAACAACGCATGCACAACAATAACGCTATCAGTTACAAAAACAACAAACTGTAGTTATGTTATTGTAGGCGAAAAAATGTAAAAGTCAAAAATCATTGCGATTTTAGAACCAACAAACAATGGCGTAGAACAAATTCCTGCTACTCACACACCTCTCTTGGCGGCGGCTGATTGTACTTGCTGTAGACTATGCTCTGGCTATGCATCCCTGTAGGAAATATCATTTATTTTCATCTCATTTTATAATTAAAGTGATTTTCGGAGAGGACAAAAAATCCTTAAAAGGACGCGTCAACGTACTCCTACTCCAATGAGGTCTACGTAATTGGTACATGACTAGATTTATATGTCAAGAACAATCAACTCGAGATCGATTGAAAAAATAGTTTGGATATTACTGCATATAAAAAATACCTATAAATTTGCAAACCGTTTGCCACCTTTAAATTTTTGACGTTATAAAATAAAAATACCCTTAATAGATATTATTTTTCTAGATATCCTTGATAAAGTTGCAACTGAAATAATTCATAGCAGATTATCGATTTTCTATCAATTTATTTAAAACTAATAATCTTCGGACGCTAAAGAAGGAAACACGTGAAAAATTCTGGACCTAGCCAGTAAAGTGAAGTGAAGTAAATTTTTAAGGCGATTTAAAG